TGTTTCCTTTATGTTGATGTGTAATCCATACCGAAGTCTTTGATCTTCATCTGTAAATGCTTCAAGTCTTCTTCACTTTCCCCAAGCAATGTTGTGCTCTCTGCATATCACAGGTTGTTAATGAGTCTTTGGCTACATCACGCAACTCTAACAGAAATACCACAGGTGGATGGCTTTAACAAATAGGAGTTTATTCTCTTACAGTGTAGGAGGCTAGAAGTCTGAGTTCAAAGCATCAGCTCTAGGGCCTAGGTGAAAAGCCCTCAACCTTGGGCTTCAGCTCTGCCTCTTGCAGCGGGCCCACTTGAGCTAGAGGTGTCTCTTCACTCAGGTAGCTGCTGACTGCTGAGGCTGACAAACCCAAGGTCAACAAATAAAATGGCACAGCCCCATTATTACCAAATAACACATCAGGCCCGTAGTTCAAGTCCAGAGACAGTCCCAAGATTGGCAAGAAACACAGCAGGCTGCTAAATGAGGACGCAGCTACACAAAGGGTCCAAGCATGCCAAAAAGCACAGAGCCTTTTCTCAATGCTTCTTTTTATATACTGGAAGCATACCACATCCCTAAGACAGCTACTCAGCTGCTCCACCAGATTCCACCATGGAATTGATTACCAGTCCCATCATGCGGAATACTACATCCAGCTGCTCAGCCACTCAAAACCAGGTCCAGCCAAGTTGACACATAACCTAAACTACCAGTCTTCCTCCAATCCTGATGCCCTGTTCTTCACATAGTCCAGCTTCACAGATTATTTGCTCAGTGTACAGATTGAAAAGTATGGTGAAAGGATACAATGATCCTGATACACACTTATCCTAATTTTAAACCATGCAATATCCCCTTATTCTGTTCAAATGTCTGCCTCTTAGTCCATGTAAGGGTTCTTCATAAGTGCAATTAAATGTTCTAGAATTCCCATTCTTGACAATGTTATCCATAATATGTTATGATCCACACAGTTGAATGTCACTGCATAAAACACAGGTAAATATCTTTCTGGTATTCTTTGCTTTCAGCCAAGATCCATCTGACATCAGCAATGATAGCCCTTGTTCCACATCCTTTTCTGAATCTGGCATGAATTTCTTCTGGCAGTTCCCTGTTGATATAGTGTTACAACTGTTATTGAATTATTTTCAGCAAAATTTTACTTCTGTGTGATCTTAATGATATTATTTGATAATTCCCACATTCTGTTGGATCATCTCTCTTTGGAATGGGCACCAATACTGATCTCTTGCTGTTGATTGGCCAGACAGGTTAGCTAGCTGTCTTCCAAATTTCTTGGCATAAACGAGTGAGCACCCCCAATGCTTCATCCATTTGTGGAAACATCTCAATTCCACAAATTCCTAGGGCTTTGTTTTTTTGAAATTCCTTCAATGAAGTTTGGACTTCTTCCTTCAGTACCATTGGTTCTTGATCATATGCTACCTCCTGAAATGGTTGATCATTGACCAATTATTTTTGGTATAGTGATTCTGTGTATTCCTTCCATCTTCCTTTGATGCTTCCTGCATCATTCAATATTTTGCTCATAGAATCCTTCAATATAACTCAAGGCTTCAATTTTTTCTTCAATTCTTTCAACTTGAGAAATGCTGAGCATGCTTTTCCTTTTTGGTTTTCTAACTCCAGGTTCTTGTACATTTCATTTTTTTCTTCTCAAGCTGCCCTTTGAAATCTGCTCACATCTTTATTTAATCATTTCTTCCATTCACTTTAGCTATTGTCTGCATTCAAAAGTAAGTTTCAGAGTCTCTTTCTTATGTGCAATTTTGGTCTTGTCTTCCTTTCCTGTCTTTTTACTTTCTTCATGTACAATGTTCTTGATGTTATCCCACAACTTGTCTGATCTTCAGCCATTTATATCAATGCACCAGATCGATTCTTCATATAGTCTTTAAATTCAGGTGGGATATACTCAAGGTCATATGTTTGCTCTTGTGGACTTGTTTTAATTTTCTTTAGCTTCAAGTTAAATTTGCATATGAGGAATTGATGGTCTGTTTCATACTTGGCCCCTGGCCTTGTACTGACTCGATATTGAGCTTCTCCATCATCTCTTTCCACAGATGATCCACTATGAATATAGATGCAGAAATCCTCAACAAAATACTAGTGAATTGAATCCAACACATATTTTAAAAAATGAAAAAATATGAGTGAGATTCCAGGAATGCAAGGATGGTTCAACATTATAAAATAAATCTATGTAATATACCACATTAGTAAAGGAAAAGAACCACATGATCATCTCAATGCACAACAGGCATATGACAAAAATCAAACATGCTTTCATGATAAAAACACTCAGCAAACCAGGAATAGAAGGGAAATTCATCAATATGACAAAGAGCATTTATGAAAAGCCCAGATAATCAATAAAAACCCATCATAATCAATAGAGAAAGACTGAAGCCTTTCCCTTTAAGATTAGGAACAAGATAAGGATGCCTACTTTCAACCCCTAAAAAAACCAAACTCATTTCCATCAAGTTGATTCCAACTCATAGTGACCCCTTTTGGGTTTCTGAGATAATCTTTATAGAAGTAAAGACTTACTTTTACCCAGTCTTCCTTCCATGGAGTGGCTGGTGAGTTTGAACCACCAACCTTCTGAATAGCAGTCAAATGCCTCAGGCTCTATGCCACCAGAGTGCCTTACTTCACCACTATCATGCAATATTGTACTGGAAGTACTAGCCAGAGCAGTGAGGGAAGTAAAAGATATAAAAGGCATCCCAAATCAGGATAGAAGTAAAAGGATTCCTATTTGCAGATGACATTATCTACAAAACCCCACAGAATGCACAAGAAAGCTACTAGAGCTAATAAATGAATTCAGAAAAGCTGTGGGGTACAAAGTAACACACACAAACAAAACAGTTGGATTTCTATTCACCCGCAATAAACAATATGAAAAGGATTTTAAGAAAACAATTACAATAGCATCTGAAAGAATAAAATACCTAGAAATAAATTTAACTAGGGAGGTGAAAGACTTTTATGTTGAAAACTGTAAAACATTTCTGAAATTTAAAAAAAAATCTAAATTAATGGAAAAACATGCTGTTTATTCTGTTTTTATGGATTGGAAGTCTTAATGTTGTTAAGATGTCAGTACTATACAAAGTGATCTTTAGATTCATTGTAATCCCTATCAAAACACCAACACCTTCTTTGCAGAAATTAAAATGCCAATCCTCAAACTTACATCAAATTGCAAGAGACTTGGAATAGCCAAAGCAATCTTGAAAATTAAGAACAAAGTAGGAGGATTAATAGTTCCTTTCTTAGTTATGTAATGCTACTATAACAAATACCACAGTTGGATAGCTTTAACAAACAAATTTATTCTCTTACTGTTTAGGAGGCTAGAAGTCCAAATTCAGGGTACCAACTCTAGGGAAAGGCTTTCTCTCTCTGTCAGCTCTGGGGGAATGTTCCAATTAAAAAAGTGATAAAGTACTTGAGTACACATTTCACCAAAGATTAATAAACACAAAAAAAGATGCTCAACGTCATTAGTCATTATGGAAATGCAAATCAAAACCTAAATATGTTACCACTTCAAACCCGCTAAAATGGCTATTATAAGAAAAATGGAAAATAACTACTAACAAGGATATGGAGAAATTAGAACCTTCATCCACTGCTAAGATTTTGAAATAATGCAGTCATTGTAGAAAATAGTTTAACATAGTTAAACACAGAACTACCATTTAACCCAGCAATTCACCTCCTAGTATAAAAGACTTGAAAGCAGAGACTCAAAGTCTCAGTGTTCATTGTAACACTACACACAGTAGCCAAAAAGTGGAAACAACCTAAATGAACAGATGAATAAACAAAACGTGATATATAAATACAATGGAGTATCTATCATTCAGTCATAAAGAGAAAGGATATAGGCTATAAAATGGATGAACCTTGAAAATACGTTGAATGAAATAAGTTAAACAAAAGAACAAATATTGTATGATTCCACTTATTTGAAATATCCAGAATAGGCAGATGCAGAGACCAAAGAATATCAGCGGCTGTAAGGGTCAGGTGGTAGGAGGAAATGGGGAGGGAGGCACTGCTTAAGAGGCACTGAATTTCTTTCTATTAATGGTGATGAAAAGAAAAATTAACATGAGCAGTGGAATGGTTGCACAACATGGGTAATATGTTGTTGTTGTTATGTGCCGTGGAGTCAGATCCGACTCATAGCGACCCCTCCTTGGGTTTCCAAGGCAGTATCACTACGGCAGTAGATTGCCCAACCTTCCTTCCGCGGAGTGGCTGGTGGGTTTCAACCGTCAGCCTTCTGGTTAGCAGTCAAGTAAGTGCCTTAGGCACCACGCTACCACAGCTCCTTGGGTAATATGGGGAATGTAATTTAGTCACCGAATTATACCATAAAAAAAAGGTGAAATGTTACATTTTGCTATATATATTTCAACACAATTTTAAAAAGCACTCCAGCAAGGTAAATGAAATTGGTTAAGATGAATCCAACCAGGTGCTCAAGGGAGAAATCTGGAAGTCACTTTTGATTCCTCCTTTCCTGGATCAGCAGTCTGTTGTAGGTTTTATCTCCAAAGTATATCTTGAATTTGTTCACCTTGTGCCTGGACCAGTGAAAATGCTAGTACAACACTGAAGAGCAGACAGTAAACAACACAGCTACTTTCACTTCTGTTTACACAGTAATCTGTAAGACAGATACTCCAGATATAACAGCCTTTAGAATGTAAATTTTAAAATCATATGATTAAGCAGATTATTCTCACATACAAAGGAGTGTTTAAAGAAATCTTCATTATAGTAAATACTTACCACAATTGTGTGAAAAACATGTTACATTAATAAAACATAAAGAGAATATAGAGTTATGTTTGTAGTTTAGGATTTAATACTCATTCTTTTTTTCCTACATTACTAAACCTACCTATCCTCCCACCCCAAGAAACTCTTCATTGAACAGTCAAAATAAAGCTGACCTGGATTGGAAACAATAATCAGTTTGCATCGGGGACTGTACTTGGTAATATTAGAAATCATTAATTTAAAGACAGACACATTTCGCTGGACCAAATTAAGGCGTGTTTCTCCCTTTTCCTGCCGTGCACCTGCTGTGATAATCACTAAATTGGAGTTTGCAGTGACATGGTAATCTGGGGAAAGATTTAAATAGAAAATAGATTAGGAAAGAAAACATCTGACATTTAAATCCATATTTCCTATTCATCTCAATCACCAAGCTATATATTTGTAAAAGAACAGTCTCTCTTAGATCTACTATGCCCATAGCACTCTTTTAACTTCAGGAAATTACTACTAAGTTTTTTTCATACATTTAGAAAATCCTCCTAAAAACTTTTGTACTTTTTAGAGTAAGAGGTTAAATGTGAATTAGCATGGAAAATGGGAATATTTACTTAGAGATAGATGGGGTATGAAAAGAACACGAAACAGGTATATGCTGGTTCATTCATAGTTGAGCTGAGAATTAAATAATATATGTAAAGTGCTTAGCTCAGTGTTTAGCACCTAATGCTAAATCAATTGATGTCCACTATTGTGATAACTACTATTGTGATAACTACTATTGTGATAACTACTATAACTGCTGCTCAAGGAGCTGAGAGTCTGGTGCTGTAGAAAGCCTTATGAACAAAGTAAAATCTACTATGACAATGCTTTAAACAGAAACCCAAACATACTACGACAGCATGAAGTATGGAGCAACCAGTTGTAACTATAAGAACTGAGGAGGTCTTCATAAAAGGAAATAAGATGTGATCATCTTAGATCTTTGTTCATATTGTATTAGAATATTTATAGTATTTAACTATGATATTAACCTTTGCTAGAAACAATATTTGGCATTTTCACAAAAGGGCTGCCATGTTGAAGATCCATGGTCTCACCCTGCAGTTTGCCTTCATCGGTATCCACAAGGGCAAGTTCATCACTCAAGCCCTAAAAGACATCAGTCAAAAGGGTAAGAGAGAGTGCATTATGATTAACTAGAGAATGGAAGAAAATTCTTATATTGATAATCTTTGCCTTGTGAATGATTAGACTTAGAAAATATATAATAGGGCTATTCAATATTTCACCATGATATAAAAGTCCAAACTAGAAGAGATAAAAGTGACAAAAAGGAGTTTCAGCTCATCATTAGGAAAACTGAAAAATGTTTAATAAGTAAAACAGTCTCTGAAGGTACTGCACACACCTTCAATTTAAACTGATGTTGCATGGTGATAAAGCAGGGATGCTATAGAAGGAATCCCTCACCAGACAATGAGCTCCTTGAAGATAAACTCACTGCCGTTGAGTCGGATTCGACTCATACCAACCCCTCCTTGGGTTTCCGAGGCGGTATCACTACAGAAGTAGATTGCCCAACTTTCCTTCTGAGGAGTGGCTAGTGGGTTTGAACCGTCAGTGTTCCAGTTAGCAGCCAAATGCCTTAGGCACTACTCTACCAGAGCTCCCCCTTGAAGACAGAAAGTTAAATTCATCTTCACCCACCTGGTGCTTAACACTCTTCCAGCATAGAGAGGCTCAACAGAATTTTTTGAATAGATTAATGGATTAAAATATAAGGCCCTTCTTAACTCTAAAAAAATTTATAGTTCAATAATCAGACACTGTTACCTGCAAAAACTATTTCATCAGTACTGTATATTTTTAAGCTCTACTTTGACACATATGAGGTCAGTATGAGTTGGAATTGACTCAACGGCAACTGTTTTGGTTTTATTTATAGTGGATGTTGGGCAAAGAAGGAGGTCTGGTAGCACAGTGATTAAGGCATCTGACTGCTAACCAGAAGGTTGGTGGTTCAAACCCACCAGCCACTCCACAGAAGCAAGACTGGTCAGTCTACTTCCAAAAGATTTACTGCCTCAGAAACCCAGTGGCGGTCGCTATGAGTCAGAATCGACTTGATAGCAGTGGGTTTAGATTTTTTGGGGGGGTTGGGTAAAGGGTAGATGGAAACTGGATGAGTGTGTGACTTTTCCATGTATATCTTTTTCCCTTACCCATATTGTTTAAGCTTGTGAATATATTACCTTTTCAAAAAACCTTAATAATTGCATGCTCTTTTGTCTTTGTTATATAAAATTTCCCAGAAGAAAAAAAATGGCTTTCTGTTAGTACATTAGAAGTATTAGTTGGAGAATTTAATTTTATCTCCAACTAACACTGTTGGATCTTTTCCCTTATTCTAATCAATGGAAATCCAAAACAAAGCACTTTAAATTAAAAACTAGATTATTAAAAAAAATAAGGGTGATAGCTTAATGAGATGATAATTCTTTATAATAATCTGAATAAAATAAAATAATCTGAATTATTCACAGAAATTGGAGAGTAGTATGGAACAAAATAATATAATATTGATAAAATTATTTTTGAAAGAAGGTTTTAAAAATGTATTCTAAGCTCAGAAGCAATAGGCACACCTAGCACCCAGTTGTTGGTTTCCAATACCATTTTCCAATAAAAGAAATCAAGGCTCCTTGGGAAAAAGGCTGATTCTAGGACTGAGGCAGGAAATATCTAAGATGAGTCTGAACCCTTTTGTTGTGCCAGAAACTAAGGAAGTGCTCAAAACAAACCAACCAACCCAATGTTGAAGGGGGTATGCCAAAGGGGTACAGGAGCCAAGTGAAAGAGCTCCCAATGGCCAAAGCAAGAACAATTTGAGCAAAAAAATAAATTTAAAAGTTGTATCAGGCGCTGTGGGTAAAGTATTGGGGTGCTAACCAAGAGGTTGGTGGTTCAAACCCATCAGCCACTCCACAGAAGAAAGATGAGGCAGTCTGCTTCTGTAAAGATTTACAGCCTTGGAAACCCTATAGGGCAATTCTACTCTGACCTATAGGGTTACTATAAGTCAGAATTGATGGCAGTGGGTTTGGTTTTTGAGGATTTGTCATAACCCAGAATATAGAATAAATATCTATGAGTTCCTATTGATATAAATAATTGAATAAATTAATAAATGGGAAAGAAAGACAAATCTCCCATTCAGAAGAATTCCAAATGATTTATGTAGGTACTCCAATTTCAAGGAGGGGGAACATAATTCCCCACTCCTTAAGTGTGGGCTGCACGTAAGGGCTTCCTTCCAAAGAGTACTATGTGGAAAGGTGGAAAAAATAGTAACTTTACAATGGAAACCTGACAAACACTATCTCATCGAGGTGATCAAAGTTGACAACAACAGTCATAAATCATGATGATACAATTTGATGAAAATGGCACTCTACCTCTGTGGTCTTCCTCCCTAAAACCTATAACCTCAGTCTAACTATGAAGAACAAAAGAAAAAATTAATTGAAGAGCATTCTAAAAAATACTTGATCAGTACTCCTAAAAACTATCAAGGTCTTCGAAAACAAGGAAGGTCTTTGAATGCTATGCTTTTTTAAAAAAAAAAAAAAATTTATTTTTACTGTGATTTGGGTGAAAATTTACAGAGCAAATACATTTTCCATACAGCAGATCACATACACTTTGTCTCATGACATTGACCACAATTTAGCACAATGCAACATCTCCTCTCCCACTTCCTCCCGATAGGTACTGCTTCCCTGTGACCATCCCTCCATGCACTCCTACCCCCTGAGCTGTCTCC